GTCTCCAGCTGCTGACCGTCTCTGCTGCTGCTGCTTGTCCCTTTTGTGTTTTTTTGTTTGTAATAAGTATTTGGATTTATTTAAATTTGAATAAAGTTGAGTTTCATCCTTTGTGCCTATTTCCAGGTGTACGTACACCTGACCAGCCGCGACAGGTCCAGCTGCAACACTGCTGCTGCTGCTGCTGCTGCTGCTGCTGTCTCTGTCTTCTACGGCTTCTCTGGCAGCTCCCGCGAGTTTCTTTTCGTTTTCTTGGTTGCTTCGTGTCACTCAGCAGCAGCAGCAGCAATGCAAGGCCACCAGCCAGCAGCAGCAGCAGCAGCAGCAGCAGCAGCAGAGGGGCCCCCCTCCGCCAGTGGCTGGACCCTCTCTTCCAGCTTCCAGCCCACAGAGGGGGGCCCCCTGGCCTTCGAGGGGGGACCCCTGGTCCTGGAGGAGCAGCAGCAGCAGCAAACGGGAGGTGAGTACAGCAGCAGCAGCAGCCGCTGCTGCAGCAGCAGCAGCAGCAGCGCAGCAGCGGGAGCCAGGGCACGGAAGGGATTAAAGACACTAAAAGGGAAGACATTAATAACAGCAAATAGGAGCTGCATGCAGAAGCAGCAGCAAAGATGGAAAAAGAAATAAATAAAATTAAAATTAAAAATAAATTTATTTTTATTTCAAAACGAACTCACAGAGACACAGCAGCAGACCAGCAGCAAAGTAAAAGAACAGAGACAATTAGAAGCAAAAATAATAGACTAAAGTACAGGCAAGGCCAGCATACACCGCTGCTGCTGCTGCTGCTGCAGCTGCTGCTGCAGCTGCTGCAGCTTCTGCTGCTGTTGCGCTTGGCTTCCGGCCCTAAGACCTGACAAACTGGCGTTTTCTAGGCTTTGGGGCTTACGGCTGCTGAAATTGAATTTGCTGCTGCTGCTGCTGCTGCTTCTGCTGCTGCTGTTGCTGCTGGTTCTGTTGCTGCTGCTGCTGGTGCTGCCCTCCTTCCGGTGCTGCTTCTACGGTGGCGTTGCCTGCTGCCTGTGCTGCTGCCACCCCGTGTGTTCTTGCTGCTGCTGCTGCTGCTGCAGACTTCAGCAACGCCAAGAAAACACTAAATAATGCGCTGCACCTGCTGCAGCAAGAGGGGCCCCTCGAAGCAGCAGCAGCACTCTTCCGCAGCCGACCTTATGGGGAGAAGCTGCTGCGGTTCTTGGTCCACAGCTTCATAGGTAAGGCACGCACAGCAGCAGCAGCAGCAGCAGCAGCAGCAGCAGCAGCAGCAGCAGCAGCAGCAGCAGCAGCAGCAGCAGCAACGGGAAGACTTTCCCTCGCTCCCTTTGTGCCACTTGGCCGCTGCAGCAGCAAAGGCAGATATACATGGATCCGATCTGAAGTCATTGTGTGCTGCTTCGTTTTGCTGCTGCTGCTGCTGCTGCTGCTGCTGCTGTGCTGCAGGGGCCTGTGCCCTGCTAGGCCTGGCGGTGGTGCTGTCTGTGCAAGTGCCCCGAGGCCTTGCTGCAGCAGCAGCAGCAGATAGCGTTTTGCTGCTGATGCTTAGGGCTCCAGCAGCAGGAATTCTCCTCAGCCTCTTTTTGTGGCTGCTCAGAGAAGCTTTTGCTGCCTACCGTAAGCCGCTGCTGCTGCTGCTGCTGCTGCTGCTGCTCCTGCAGTTGCCGCTGCTGCTTGTTTTTCGGCTGCTGCTCCTGCAGTTGCTGCTGCTGCTTGTTTTTCGGCTGCTGTTCCTGCAGCTGCTGCTGCTGCTCGTTTTTCGGCTGCTGTTCCTGCAGCTGCTGCTGCTGCTTGTTTTTCGTGTGCTTTTCCTGCTGCTGCTACTCCTGCTTTTCCTGCTGCTGCTCGTTCGTCGGATGCTGTTCCTGCTGCTGGTGCTGCTGCGATAGCTTCGGCTAGTGACTCTGCTGCTGCGGCTTCTCCACTTGGTGCCCGCGGCGCTATTGCTGCTGCTGCTGCTGCTGCTGCTGCTGCATGTACTGTTGCTAGACACATCACTGCTGGAAGTGCTGCCGCTGCTTAACTGCTTCCATAACTGTTAATATTGCTTCTGCTGCTTCTGCTGCTGCTGCTGCTGCTGCTGCGGTTTCTGCAGAGCGCGAAAATGTCTACCGCAGCCCTTTGGATCCGTACGGCATTCAGCAGCAGCAGCAGCAACAGCAGCAGCAGCAGCAGCAGCAGCAGCGAGCAGCCTCCTTTGTGTTCTGCCTTTGCTCTGTAGAGGCCTGGGTTGTGCTGCTGCTGTGGATGGGCGGCTGCTACACTCCAGCAGCAGCAATGCTTGCTGTTCCTGCTGCTGCTGCTCTCCGCTGCTGCCTCAAAAACGCCCTGTTTGACTGGATTGTTGGACCCTCCAGCAGCAGCAGCAGCAGCAGCGCCACCGGCGGCGCGTACGCCGCTGCAGAAGACGACACCAGCAGCAGCAGCAGCAGCAGCAGCAGCTACAAGGACCAGCTCCGCCCTTATGTCCAGGAGGCTTTTAAGGGCCTCAACTTCTTCGGACTTCCAGATG